TGTTTCCAATACGAGTCAAACCTGAACTTTTAACAAACAAGGAGCTTCTTTTGCAGTCCAAAAAGGTGGTAGGGTGAGGGTTCTACACCCAATGCCTCCCAACTATGATTTTCATGTTCATTCACATCTTCATCACATATTTTATTTTTAAATTTTTACATATCTGCACTTGAATTTTCTTTTTTTTTATATTTCTATCACCCTGCCAATATATAAAAAGATGTTTCCCACTTCTAAAATTTGAGAAGTTTTCATGCATATGAAGTAATATTTATTTAGTTATATATCTCACATTAGTAATATTTATTTAGTTATATATCTCACATTTAGGGTCTGTTTGGGACAGCTGCAGCTTATTGAATAATTGTTGATAAACTGATTAAAAATAATCTGCTAATAAGATGTTGAGGTGACAATCATTTTTTTTTTTTTTAAAGTCAGACCTCAGTCAGAGAGCTGTCACCACACATCTATAGGTGCGTTGTGAAAACGTTATTTTCAGCATTTAGAAACCCCATAAGCTGTCAAAACATAGTTTACCCAAACATGTCAGATGTGTTTTCAAAACACCGCCACACCAATTAAGTTGCCCCAAACGGGCCCTTAAACTTTCGTCTTTACTCATACGGTATACAAATACTTAATAAAACATATAAAAAAAAATTATGTCAAATACATTCTTTAATTCATGCAAGTAAATAACCTTCCATGTAAAATAAGTTTATAAAAATTCTACATGTGGAACAAAATGACCCCTCCCCCTCTCTTGAAAGCAAATTGCAAGATACTTAGGTCATATAATTATGTATTTACATATCTAACAATTAATTAATTACAATAAACAAACAACAAACTTAGCTAGCTCAATTTTTTTTATTATTTTTTAAATATTTGATTTTCATTTCTAATATTAGAGGACTGCCCATTGAAGTTTGAGCTCTCGAAAACTATCTTATTTAAGTTTGATCGTTCTTAAATTGATTTGAAACTAGCTTATTTAAGTTTGATCATTCTTAAATTGATTTGAACCCAAATTTAAGCAAGGTTCAACCCCACATCATTAGAATATGTGGTGATTTATACATATATACCACACAACTTTTTGGTATTTGCATATGTAACACCTAGATTTAGATATTTATACATAAAACACTTCAAAATCGTAATCAAATCATAATATATGCAAGGATAAGCGAATTACGCTTGACAAAAGCTAATATTAACAACAATTTTTGTATGTTGAAATCAAAATTCGAATAGTCCTTAACATAAGCTTATAATATAGAAAAATGCATCATAATTTATGCATGATCAAGCCCACCTTTTTGACATATTAACCGTGTGATCCAGTATGTCAAAGCCTCCTTAAATCCAACAATGAAACATCGATAATTCCTCTTGTAGCGTTTGGGGCGGCGTTGCGGTGGCAACGTGGTGTCGCACTGTTGTTTTTTTTCTATTTGGCAAAATTGCATTTTGTTTGCGTTTTCAAAAAACTGCAGCTGAAAGCTGTGTTTTTCCACCATATCTGGCTACCTATTGTGGCCGCTGGAAAGCTACGATCAGTCTTTTTCAATAAGAACAAAAAATTGTAATAGTCACGACAGTTTTTAAAACAACTGCTTCATATTTATCAGTTTCACAACTACTTCTTCAAACAGCTGCAACTACCCCAAACAAATCCTTAGTTTCCAAAATATATAAAAGAGGTGGATAAAATGAATGAAAAAATAGACGATCAAATTCATCATCGTGCAGTCTATCGAGAGAAAGACATAAACATTAAAGACCGCTAAGATAAAATCCACCAAAAACCATTTCATGTATCATCGAGGATTTAATTATTGCCAAAGCATTCATGGAACAAATACTATGTTAGAATAGATTTAAAGTGTTAAAAGAGTGACAGCACAAAAAATCGTCACGTTGAAATAATGATATAAGTTTAAACTATTCAAGTTACAACACCAGATATATAAATAAAGTATAGTGTTATGATTCGTAATACTTTAAACTTTACACCTTCCAGTTGTTATTAGTATAAATGTTGTTAAGTGCCTCTTGCAGAAAAAAAGCACCATTAATTGTGGGAAGTTGAGCATATATTTGTTAAAGACATCTCCCACATGTGTATGTGTGTGTGTGAAATGCAGAATTCTCAAATGAATCCTCTTCAACTCCTTGAGAATTAGTAACTACTCTGCACCAAGGAGCACTGGCACGAGCAAGATTGAAGTGCTTGAGAAACATACAATTACGAACTGCATCATAAAGTTGTACAATGATCACATTGGAGGGCTTCATTTGAGACCAAATAGTGGGGAATAGCTTTCTTTTAGTAAATCTTCTTTTGAGTTCTTTATAAACATTTTAATATCTTTTTAACTAATCCTATTTATTCTTTAATTGAGTTTGGTTGTACAATCTTTTTGTTATCCCTTAAATTTTTTTGTAATATTATGCTAATTTTCTTTAAAATGTATTGCTGTCTCGTTTCTTAAATCTTATTTCTTTCAAACAAATGTCACAGAAAATTATTTTTATTTCTTTCTCCCACATTGTCGATGAGGTGTTGTCACTTGTATTGTCAATTTGTTAATGTATCTAGAAGGTTGATATATGATTTATACTATTTAAATCAAACATAATTAGACAAAATGATACAATAAATGGTGAAAGGTCATTAGAGCGACCATACGAACATATACAACTGCAATCCACATACCAACAGTCAAAGGTTGTGGACAAAAGAAAACGAGACAATAAAGATACTTCTATCTGAAAGAAGATTTCATGCATGCTAATGATCTATTCTTTAGAAAATTATGTGTTCTTTTTTTCTATTTTGTAGTTAAATTTGCAGCTTAAGAATCATAACAAACATCAACTATTCGATAGTAAAGAAATTTGTTTGACCTGTTTATAAAGAGATTTTCTCGTCATGTTCATATAGAAATTTTGACTAGTCGGTGCACAAATTGCTATGCAATTTGTAATTAGATTTGCAATTGATTAATAGATTTCATTTTTAAATTTGAAAGTCAAGTATTAACCTGTTCATTTCACTTCATAACCATCATGATGGTAACATGTTAAAGATGCAACCCAACAAAAGAAAAAGTTCACAAAAGAAGAGTGCAAAGCATTTTATTCATACTTTCACTTGTTATATTTGCAATGCATTATATTTTTAAACCAGCACGATATAAACAGCATTTGCAATTTCTCAGGAGGCAGCATCAAATTGCTACCATCAAGTTCAAAATTCATAGATTATAGCTAATATGCACAATATTCATAGCTTTTAATGTGAGTATTAAAAATTTCAAGTTGCTACACAATCGCAAAAAATGTTAAGGCGTCGATACAATACCAGATCTTAAGACGAATAAAACTTGAGAGTTTATAGAGAGAAGAAGGAACTTAAAAACCATAATGCGGGGAATTTTTATTCGAAATAGTGTTTCCCAGAGTCGAATTGAGAGGAGGGAGGGATCCATTTGTTAGGGTTTAGACGAGGAGAATCAAAGTTTCGGGTTGGGTTTCATGAAATGAAATAGATGGAGGTTAACACGAGGTGGATAAGCGGGTAATGCAAGCTTGGAAAGCAGTCAAGTGGGAGTAAAGAGATGCAAGAAATCATAGGGATCTTGCCAGACGTTTATCGTAGGAGATGCGAAGGCCGTGTGGGTTCAAGCGATGAAGGCGAATGTGAAAGCAATGCGCAAGCGAGGTCATGAGAGCGGCAACAAGAGAAAAAACCTAAACACGAGACACTATTATTTCAAATACCAGACCGATGTTTTTGTTCGCGTTGCCTAAACACTTTACTTAAGCGTGCATATGTCATAAGCATGTTTAGAACTCAGTTCAGAAAGATTAAGTAATTGTAGTCTGAAACTTATTTTGTTGGTATGCTAGTAAGTAAATCTTGATAAATATTAAGAAACTGTTCGACAACTATAGAAGGATTTAACATGATTTATGAGAGGGACATTCAATTATAAATATGAAATGTAAAAAATATAAATGAGTATCTAAAGCCTGAAAGTACTTAAAATCAAGGTTGTGAAAACTGAAAGAAGGAGAAAAGTTTAAGGTTCGTTGGTTCGATCTGGGTTGAACCGAATGATGTAATCAATTATAAATTTATTTAAATATGAAATAAATGATATATTAAAAAAAGGTTATTAAAATATACAATAGATACCTTAATATTTAAATAATAAGCACCATAATAAATTTAAGAAAATTTTTTTAAAATTAATTAATTAATTTTTTTTAAAAAATAATTATGAAATATAAAAATCACATTATGATACTTTAAAAATATATATACAACGAATATAAATTAAATATTATCAAAATCTAGGAGTAAAATTTTATAAAGATATGTTGTTACTTTTCCTACCATCTCTATATCGACAATAAGAAACTAAGAAGTTATAATTATTTTTTACACCAAACTCTATTTATTACTTATTGGTTTCCACTTTCCAATGTCTTTCCTCTCAATTGAAAACTCTTAATGCATAGCCCACCTTATATTTCTAACCCCCCTTAAATATTTTAGAAAATACAATTTCCCATCAAACCAGTCGATTTTTGCCAGTTCAACCTAGTTTGTTGCAGGGCCGTTACCAGCAGATCGAACCGCACCGTCGGCAGGTTCTCGGTTAAACTGATCGTGTTTTCTAAACCATGTTTGAAATAAGACAATCAAATTAATTAATAATTAATAATTGATGTGTAAATTAATTACTTATTAAATAATAAATTAATACGAATCAATTATTAATTAATTAATCATTGATTATATAAACTAATAATTACAAAAAAAATATTAAATAATTAAAAATTTGAAATATAGCTTCATTCATTAATCAACTATTAAATTATTACATTTAAATTTATATAATTATAACTAATTGGATAATATACAAATCAATTATTAACGAATAAAATAAATAAAATTAAATAAAAAAAATCATAAACATTTATCCCTCTCCCTCCTCTACCCAAAACCCTCGCCTACATCCGCGGTCCGCCCCCTCCCGCTTCCTGCCAAAACCCTCTTATCTCCCTCTTCCCTCCGGTTTCGCCCTAAACCATCGACCTCGTGGACGAACCTTCGGGATGCAATCGCCATCATAGCTAGCTGAGAAGGCAACCACGAGATTGCGGCTCACAGAGACCCCCGAAACTCCCATCTTTTTCATCCTTCCGCTCCAGCCCTACTAGTAACCAGTGAGGAAGGTAAGCCTGAGCGCGCCATCCTTCCCATTCGTTTGTCCCGGATCAACTACATCCGCCGACTCACCGGATTCTGTAAATCCGGGCGAATCGGCGCCATTTTGGGATTTGCGGGAGCTCAGAATTTACAGAGGCGTTTTTTTTGCCGTTTGGCAGGATTCAGCTTGAATCCCACTTAACACCGGCTACCAAACAGCTTAGCAGGCAAATAGCTCCTTCGGCCTGCGTAGCGCGGATGACGGCAACCGATATGCCGACCTTTGACGTGGGAGAACCTCTGGAACGGTTGTGCTCGGCGGACCCAGCTCTCTTCCTTTCCCCATCATCGGAGTTATCCGCTCATGCACGTGCCGCTTCTCGCCATCTCTTCACCTCCCTTCTTCCTTACTGTCCTAAACCCCCATTGGACGACCTCCTCACTGACGACAGCTTTGATGCTGAGCAGATATGGACCCAAATTGATATCCTATCTCTGCCCATTCTGTCCTTGATTAGACGTGAGATCAAGCGTTTGGAGCGTGTGGCACCAGTCGTTGATGGCGTTGATGCCAAGGAAATGGACGGAGAGCAGCAAAACGAGGAGGTGAAGGAGGATGATGGGGATGAGGATGATGATGTGGGTGAGGAGGAAGAGAAGTATGATGACGACGATGAGGATGATGATGCCGTGGAGGAGGACAAGGGGGATGGAAAAAGCAGTGGGACTGGAGTGGAGGACAAGTTCTTGAAGATTAAGGAGCTGGAGGATTTCTTGGAGGATGATGAGGCAAGGGAGTACGGATATCAGAAAAAGGGTGGAAGAGAAAAGTTGAAAAAGGTGGAAAATCACAGCAATGAGGATGCCATGGATGCTGACGAAGACGAAGAGGGAGATGAGGATGATGCAGAGGTAAATAAATAACCATAAACATTCTTTCTATAGTTTATGTACTTTGATTTTGGCATCTTGTAGATGATATCTAATCTTTTTCCTTCATTTTCGTATTTAGTTTGAGGATTTGGATGGTGAAGATGAAGACGTGGAACTTGCAAGGTTTGTCCATTTTATGGGCCATTTACATATATGCCACATGTATCTAACACGTAAACATTCATATTTACATGTATGTCACTCAAATCTCTAACATCACATAAATAATACCACAATCAGCATCTTTTTAAAAGTGAAATACACCTTTTCTTTTATAGGTTTATGACACTAAAGTGCTATCAGCGTAACTATCAAACTTTCGGTGTTAGATATGTAAATACAAAATAATTATGTGTTAAATATGTAAAATTGTATATGTCCTAATTTTATTTGTCACATTACTCTAATTTGATCTGTTGCGCCCTGAGTTCGACCATGTATTGTTTGTTGCTTTGGGTCTTTTTTTTTTAGCTGGCATTAAATTATACTGGCATTTACATGCGTACCACCCAATTCCTACATATTTACATGCGTACCAACCAAATCTTTCATATCACATAAGAATACCACAATCCTAACTTTTCAAAAGTGAAATACCTTTGCATGCAGAGATGAGTGGCCTATATGTAAAAAATTGAAGTTTAGGCGTTAGATATGTAAATTCATGGTAATTGACTGATATGTTTGTAAATCTTCCTAAATTATATTGTATAGTTTTTCCATGGACTGACAGACATCAATTAAAGCTCTTGAATCTTAATTTGGAAATGTTTTCTTCAGGTATGAAGAATTCTTTGGAGGGAAAAAGGGCAAGGCCAAGAATGCAAAGGGTGTTTTAAATGATAAGGAGGGTTCAGATGGATCCAAGGAAGGAGAGGATGAGATGGATATTAATACAAAGGTCAAATTGTTATTTTGTTTTACGTTAATAAAGAAAGGAAGATTTACATACATACCATTCAATTCTTCTGTATTTACATATCTAACAACTGTACTTCGCTATTTATGAAAAGGTGTATTGCACTTTTTAAAGTTAAAATGTTGTTTTTTTTTGTTGTGATGAAAAATATTTGGGTGGTATAAATATAAAAAATAGTGTTTAGGTGTTAAATATGTAAATATATATGAATTAGGTGGTACGCATGTACATGCCGAATGCCATTGATTGCAGACTCACATGCATGCTTTATCTCTACAGAGTGGCGAATACTTATCGACTCACGAGAAGCAATTGTTGAAGTTACACTCTAAAATACAACAAATGGAGAAAGCTAATTTGGAACCCAAGATGTGGACCATGCAAGGAGAGGTAATTAGCTCGTTATCTTGCATTTCATTATCTTTGGAATTATAATAAATTTGTTTTTGGTAATTTAAAATGAAACAAAATGTCATCTTTATTATTTCCTTGAAGGATTCAAGGATTTAAGCCAATTTTATGTAATTATTTTTTGGTTTTCGGTAGGTTACAGCAGCTAAAAGGCCTAAAAACAGTGCACTTGAGGTAGACCTTGATTTTGAACATAATGTAAGACCACCTCCTGTGATTACAGAGGAAGTAACAGCTTCAATTGAAGACCTAATCAAGAAAAGGATCATTGAGGTGCTTTCATGAATCCATCATAAAAGCATTTTTTTTTTCTTCATATGTTTTTTAAGGGGCATTTACAATCATACCATCGAATTCCTATGTATTTATATATCTAACACCTAAACTTATTTTTTTTACCTTTATAACATCCAAATCTTTCGCATCACATAAATTATGTGAAATAGAAATACACTTTTTCATGTAAAGGTAAGTTGGCATATATGTAAAAATTAAAGATTAGGTGTTAGATATGTTAATACAAATAAATTAAGTGGTTTGTATGTAAATATTTCTTTTTCATTGCCTTAAGTTTGATGCTTTTCTCAAGGCATGCTTATTATAATCTAGTCACAAAATTTTGATATCTAATTTGTATTTTATGCTGAAGTTGAGGAGGGATGGTAGAATCTGAAAAAAAAAGATGAGAGAAATTATTGCGCATTTTGTTGAAATTTTGCTGTTATTTCGTTGTTAGGTTTTATGCATCGTGCATAGGGCTGTAAAAAAGCCCGTTATTCGCGAACAACTCATGTTCGAATCTTTCCTTATTCTCGAGCCGAACATTAACAATTTTTGTAAGCTTGAATTATAAAGGAGCTGAATATGAACAACCCTTTTTTAGATCGTGTTCGGCTCATTTTAGCTGAAATAAATAAATTATATATATTATTTATATAATAATATATTATATAAATTTATATCAAAGATGACATTACAACAACTTGTGTGGTCAATTGATTCACTACATCTTTTAGGATGTTGAATTCTTTGCGACGTCAGGTCTCATATTGTTCGTGGGCTCACACAACCCGGGGAAGGTTTGTAATGAAAGAAGGTGAAAATGATGGATTTTTGCTCTCCAAGCCCTAGCTCCCGATCCCTTACGAGAGAGAGATGGAAGGTGATGATATATTTTCAGGGGTTCGTCCGCGTGTCCTCCTTGAAATCGGGAGAAATCATTTATTTGTATGACTCGTATATTTGGGACAAAAAAATTGGCTTTGATTAATTCACAACCAAATCATATTGCGAAAAAACCACCGATTAGATATATCAGGAACAAAATTGAACATAAGTGCATAACACAATAAATCCAGAAAATCACACAAGATTTACTGTGGAAAAACTCAAGAATTGGAAAAAACTACGAAACCATACAACAACAACAAAAACAACAAGCCTTTATCCTACTTAGAGACATTTACATAAATATTAAACTAATTAGTTCATTTATTATTAGGGGCATTTACATAAATACCACCCAATTGCTATGTATTTACTTATCTAACACCTAAAATTTACTTTTTTTACATTTGTACCACCAAAATTTATCTTATGACATCAAAAAGACCAACATTTTAACTTTTAAAAAGTGAAATACACCTTTCAGCCATAGGGAAGGTGGCTTGTATGTGAAAATTGTAGTTTAGATGTTAGATAAATAAATACATAAGAACTGAGTGGTGTATGTGTAAATCTTTCTTATCATTCATCATTTTTTCCTTGACGATCAGGCAGCATGATCTATAGATTCTTACCACATTTTAAGTTATTGTCAATTTGAAAATGGTAGTAACACAATATTAAGCAGCATATTTCTTTTAAATCAGGTTATTTGTGATTATTTTGACAGTTTATGTGCTGTTTTTCTTTTTATAAATTGTTTTCAGGGTCAGTTTGATGATGTTCAAAGGGCACCCGAATTACCATCAAGAGCTCCAAAAGAGTTTAAAGAGATGGTACAAGCCGACTTACTGATTTGAGAGTTATTAAGAACTTGATTTCATATATATATAACAATTATATATTATTTTATGTCTTTTTAATTCGCAGGATGAAACAAAGAGTAAAAAAGGGTTGGCTGAGATATATGAGGTTATTTTCTTTAATTTGCCATAGTTGTTTGCTAGTCAGGGATTTTTACTTGCTTAATATCCTTCCACTTTGATTGGAGCGTTTCTACTGACGCCAATTTTGTACTTCTTTGAAGGAAGAATATGCACAAAAGGCGGGTCTAGCCTCTGCTCCTCTTTCCTCTACTGATAAGCAAAAAGAGGAGGTATGACACTTTTTTATTTTGCATTTTTTATTGTGATGATGACATTGCCTCTTATTTGTTGGCGTTGAACCTTTTTCTAATTAGTTTACTTATTGTCGCTTATATTCCTAGCAAGCTAATATATTATATGAGTTTAGAGGACTAATTTTTTTGTTGCATTAATGAAATATTAGTAATAATTCATCAGCGAAGCGAAAACAAAAACTAGTGAAGATAAAATTGAAGAAACACCAACAAAACAAAACCTACTTAAATCTAGTAGAGGTCTAGGTAAAAATTGCAACATAAACTAAAGTACCAAATAAAATGATTACAGCTAAAAAGTATGCTTTTGTGGTAATTGTACACCAAAAAATTTTCTAGAATTTGTTAAAATCGAAGTTCACCACGACTGAGTTTGAAATTCACTCCTAGCAGATAACTCTTATTTGTTAAAGCATAAATGAGAGGGTATGGGGTATGGGGTATGGGGTATAAATAATAAATGTGTAGTATGATAGTGAGCACAACAAATGCCTTCAAATTATCAGTTCAATATACTATTGCATGGCTTGAATGATTGAATGTAAGCTGTTTTTGATGACTAACTATATTATAATGTTCATGATCATTTGTGCAATAAATATAAAGAATGTATTTCACTCTAGGGATAAAAATATATGTTTGCATGCATATGTACACACATTTTCCATCATACTAAAACACATTAAACTGGGAATTTTTGTCCCAACTCGTGAAAAGTTAATAATTTTTTAATGATTTATCACTTATTAGACTTGTTGGCCTAGCAAGCTAATATCCAAAATGGTTCAATTGACCTATACATTAATTGCAAACATGCATACACATTTTTATATTTATAATCGGAAAGCATGTTGTAGATATTTTATAATCAATATGACCAATGGTAGTTTTATAATTAAAATATGATTTACTTCTATAGGGTTTATTGTATTCAAAATGAATTAAGAGGCAGTGCACATGAAAATCAATGTTGATGCCATAATGATTATTTAAATATTTAAGAATTTATATAAAAATAAATATGGGCAGTGATGTCTTTCTCACTTTATATTTCATTATATTTAATAAGGGGTTGTTTGGTCGGCTGCAAAACGGGTGTATTGCATTACTTTTGCCGTCGTTTTGTCGTTTTGAGAATTTAAACATTTGGTCGAAAGAAATTTAAATACAATGTAAAATAACAATGCTTTTGTAATTTACTATCGTTTATTTTCTATGTTTTTGAAATTCGATGAATTATGACAAATTTCAAATACACAACTCCATGTAAAGTGGTGTCTGCCGCTATTGCCATTGCTAATTCTCATATTTAACATTGAGTTCATTTTTTTTTAAAATCAAAGAAGAAAATATAAATTCCTACATTTATTTTACATTGAACCAAACGCCTCCAAAGTATTTCAAATATAATAATTGCTTGTATAATTCATTATTTTTTTAGTTGATCAAAGAACCTCTAAAGGAAATCTACAAAAGTATGTGTAAAAGAAATCTACAAAATTATGTGCACCAATAAGTGAATATGAAGTGACGATGGACCGACAATCTACGAAATTTTTAAGAAATTATTACAAGCATTAAGGATAACACCACGATGAGAATGATACTTTTATTTTTTAATGATTAAAAGTTAATTACCATGAATTGTTGCATAAATAACTCCCATTTTAATTGAGATTTAACCAATTGAATGAGGCAGAATGTCAACCAGAACATCTCACACATTACAAATCTTAAATCAATGCCAAAAACATATTCTAGTAATGAGAAGCTATAGCTAATTAAGATAGGAGCATCATCATTCACATTAATTATCACATAAATCATTCGGAAGCTCATCCAACTTAATTATGTTTTACATGGGGTGAAACCGATAGTATTGATACGCCACCAACACATTTTCATCATCCGACATGAATCTCGAGGCATGACACGAATCTCAAGATGATATTTTAAGCATGAAACATTCAAATCTTGATAAAAAGTCATTCAGAGCTCTGATTTCAACATACTTATAGTTAAACTGAACTGACCGACTTGTTGAGATAAACCTAATGATATGAAAATTAGTCCAATCCGAGTCAAATTAAGCCCAAATCAAGTCATTGAACCACACTTAAATTATTTTCAGTCACATTTGAAAGATCGAAGGATTGTCGAATATGACAAGTTTATACTCGAATCGAGCGGCTCGACAAGACGAATCCAATGAACCCAAGATCACTCAATTTTGACATCATTAAGACGCTCAAATGTTGGTAATCTAGTAAACGCCGTATGATCTAGGGAAGCTCTCCGAATCGTCCGATCAAAATGATTAATATTCCGACATTAATTGCACCCAAAACACTATAAATAGAGCCTCATCCCTCTCATGAGAGAGGACTGAAGTCTAGAGAGAGAGTCTGAGATCTTGAGGAGAAGCTGTAGTTCAACATCATCGACGATCGTCACCGAAAACCGCCAACCTCCGCCGATCGCAGTCGACCATCGCCGACTGTGGAAGACCATCACCTATCGTCATCGATCTCCACCAACCGTCATTGATCACCACTAACCAGACGCTGTTAGTCAACGTCGTAATCTAAAAAATATAGTTACATTTTACCGTCTGTGGGATAAAAAATTTCTGTAATCATCAATCAATAGTGGATTTTTGCAACTGGGCCAGACCCTGTGGTTTTTCTCTTTACGGGCTTTCCACGTAAAAACTTATGGAGTAGTCATTGTTTTTTTCTTTTTCATCCGAGTGTTGGCAGAATTCTCGTACAACGCTAAGACGATAATCTGTTACTCTACCGCCATGAATTTTCTGACACGCATCAAGTATGTTTGCTAATAACTTATTTTTTATATTTTTTATTAAAAATAAAGCCTTAATCTAACATCAATAATGACCAATAATTTATATTATTTTTTAATTTAGAATTACGAGATAAGAAGGAAGTGGAAGGACAGGTTACCCACATGCTCTCCAATATTTGATGATGACGAAGTTAATGATTTCTTATGAAGAGAAAACTGGGAGAATGTGGCTCGTGATTGCTCTGCTTGTAGTTTAATAAGATGTGATGTTCTTGTGGCTTTGCAATTGGGGAGTAAGAGGTAGATGAATGCTCATGATTCTAGTCATCTTGATTGAAGGAGTGTGCTACAATGGCGAAAAGACTAGGAGCAAGGGGGGATTTTTGGTGGCCATAAACGAAGGAATTGGGGATGGTGATGTCCTCCTTTAAAACCAAAATAGAAATGGTGGGGGAGTGCACATTTTTTGCGTTGATAGGCTGCCAATTTAGCTTCGAGAAGTTTGAGTGAAGTTGATGTGCGATGGGCATTGATTTGTCAAGATTGTGGTTTGCTTATATTTTGGTGGCATTATAGGGTTTATCACACTTAACATTACAACGGTCGGTGCTAGATTATCTTCTAATAGCATTGACAATTTTTGGTCATTGTATCGTATTATAAGATCTAATAAAATTGACCAAGTTTTGAACATTTGTATATCTTTTTTATAGATGTTCATTCATTTCCTTTATTTTTTTTTTTCATTTATTTTCTTCCTTGTGTGAAATTGTAAGTGAGAAGATTTATTGGATGGTGATGCTTGATACCGTCATTGTTTTTGGTGCTCCACAATACGCCTTACGAAATTGTTTGAAAAAAATATCATTATAACAACAACAATAAGCCTTTATCCCACTAAGTGGGGTTGGCTACATTGGCTACTTGGCTACATGAATCCTTTTTCTTCATTGCATCCTATTGAGCATCATATTTTCATTTAATTCTACTAGATTAAGATTATTTTTTTAAACAATGCGCCCAAATCTTTTTAGGTCCGCCTTTCTTAACATCAGTCGAATATTAAACATCTAATCTCCTAACCAGATCATCAGATCGTCGACGTTTAATATGACCAAATCATCTAAGATTACTCTCTCTAATCTTGTCCGCCTCTGGAGCTGCACCAACCCTATCATGGATATGTTTGTTTCACGTTTTATCTCTAATTGTCAAACCACTCATCCATCCAAGCATTCTCATCTCAACAACACTTAATTTTGTTTTATGCTTCTATTTTAAAGGCCAATATTTTGCGCCATAGAGCAGTGCATGTTTCACCACCATCTTATAAACTTTTCCTTTAAGTTTAAGCGATACTTCTCTATCACACAATAGACCCGATGCATTCCTCCACCTCAACCAACTAACTTGAATCCTACTAACATCCCCATTTATATCACCAACACTTTAAACAATAGACCTGAGATATCTAAAACATTCACACCTTTTAATGAGCCCCCTGTATTATGTAGGGAAAATAACATGCATCTAATATTAATAAAATAAGATAATTATTAACTTTGAAATGAAACATTGTTCCTTCAAGACTTGTTATTTTTGAGCATTTCAAAATTGTGGACACCAAAAAATGTTAATTTTAAGTTTAAAAGTTTTTGATAGTAGGACCCACTTCAATGGGACTAGGGGTGAGCGGGTGCACATGTGCGTGTGTGAGAGAGAGAGGGAGAGAGATTGACAATTGCTCAACAACTTATTTTCTATCAATCAAGAGGACAATTAACCAACAAACAAATCTTGAAAAATAAACTAAAAGTAGTGATTGTTGCATAGGAGTTCTCTCTTTTTTTGTTAAGATATCAAATGAGTTCTAAAAGAAGAATGAAGAGTTTTGATCTTATCCTGAAATTCATGTTAAGTTGGCAAAATGACAAGACCCAATGGTACTGTAAAAATAGAAAGTCGTGGCCTTATTTTCTTCTCCCATCTTCTCTTCTTAAAACATCTGTATTGCCGGTTAATATTTTAGCTCAAAATTTGATCTTTGATGTTCACATTTCAGTTAGAAAGTGCTTATGTTTTATTGTTATTTTACGCACTGATGAGAAATCACTCATCTTCATCATTAGTTTTATCCCAATCACTTGAGATTACAAAGTGTTATCATCTACTCAAATCCTATAGAGTAGCATACGAGATGCGACTATTTTTCTTGGTGCATCTTCTAGCCATTTGGTCTTCCCCATGTTCTCTTTCTAAACTCTCATTTATTTTATCTACCCACTTTTATTGTCACGCCTATACCTGCTACGTTTACTCACCATTAAATTTTCTTTGATAAATACTACTCTCTCCATCACTATTATATTCATTTTTTAATCTTTCCTTTCTTCTTTTAGCACACTTTCATCTTCACATTCTAATATTTTTTGCCACACTAATCTTTAACTATTAGTGGCTTCTTTATTACATAAAGCTCACTTCCACCTTTTTTAAAATTCGCCATTTAGCCTCCATGATATATGATATTATTACCGCATTTTATTCTTGAAGCATTTCTCTTTTCAAAATATCTCTAATTCTAGAATGAAAGATTTACATACATACCACTCAATCCTTATGTATTTACATATTTAACGCCTAAACTTCAATTTTTCCATATACATATATGCTACTTTACCTATGCATGAAAAGATGCATTTCACTTTCTAAAAGGTAAAATAGTCGTATTTTTTATGTGATATGAAAAATTTGAATGGTATTAATGTAAAAAGGAAAATGTCGGTGTTAGATATGTAAATACATAAGAATTGGGTGGTATGTATGTAAACGCCCTTTTTAGAATTTATATTTCAACATACACATTTTTCAGATTACATATCCGAGGTATTTGAATCCAAAGACACACTTATATAGCATCATTTTTAGTGTTATTTTCTGCTGCACTGTTCTGAGCATGTGCACCTTTTTGTGAAGTTTTCCAATCATGATGGATCTGCCATACTTCATACTAGATTGTCTCATAGACCAGAGTAGACTATATGTTGAGAATCATTATTGTATAATTAGTAGATATTTTTTAGAGCCACTAAAGCTCTGCTTATGGAAATAAATTTGTGCATGTGTATCAGTGATAAATAACCCCTGAAGTCTGTCTTATACATTTTCTTGTAATTTTTCTTTTATACTTAATGATGTGGGTGATTAAATTTTTTTTTTAAATCCAGGCAAGCTTTTTATTTAAAAGGCTCTGTTTGAAGTTGGATGCATTAGCTCATTTTCACTTCGCTCCTAAACCGGTATGCAACTTGTCTAGTATTATGTATTATTAATATTAGGGGTGTCAAAAATTGATCCGACAATGCAATTTGACTTGAACTCGTTTTGAAAAATCCGCATTCAGGTTGATTGGAGTAATTTTTTGGTCAGGTTCAGGTTTTAGGAATATTAACCCGTTTAATTTTTTGATCGGCTTCGAGTTGACCCGCCAATTTGAATTTGACTCGCTAACTCGAAATTGATATGAATTTCACCCGAATGCTATTATGCCTTATGTTAACTATGTTATACTGGGTGAAGATCTCTACCCGTTTAATATTTGGTTCTGGTTCGTGTGAATCAATTTTGGGTTGGCTCAATTTCAGTTCAGACCCGAGCCCGAGCCACGTACCCGATTTGACACCCCTAATTAATATATAGGTTTCAAAAAGTCTTTTTCCTATTTATTACTGGAATGCCTTGATTTACAGGTTATTGAAGAGATGTCAATAAAGGCAAATGTTCCAGCTTTAGCTATGGAAGAGGTATATTGACTTTTATGCTATTTTGAACATTTAAAATTTGGCAGATTTACATGCTTACCACTCAATTCATATGTATTTACTTGTCTAGCACCCAAGCTTTAATTTTTACAAATAAATGCCACCTTATTTATGCATGAACAGTTGTATTTCACTTTTTAAAAGCTAAAATAACGGTATTTTTTATATGTATTTTTGATGTGACGTAAAAAAATTGTGTTATGAATGCAAAAATTAAAGTTTAGCGTTATATGTAAATACACAAGATTTGAGTGGTATGTATTTAAGTGCCCCATAAAAATTTGAATGCGGCAAGTGATAATAAAACTTCTCTTGCAGATAGCGCCAGTTGCAGTTTCAGATGCAGCTATGCTTGCTCCTGAGGAGGTGTTTCAAGGAAAAGGCGATTTCAAGGAAGAAGCAGAGCTAACGCAATCTGATAGGAGGAGGAGAAGAGCAAACAAGAAAAGAAGATTCAAAGGTACATTCTTTCTATCGAACTTCACTATTTATTTATTTTTTAAATTTCTCATTGTTTTTTTTCCATAACTTTGGTATTTTTTGTCTATCAAGTTTGGATCGCTGTCCTGAAATTTACAGTATTTGGGTGCTGCTGATAGAAGTTTAAAATTCTTTTTTCCAAGGATAAATACAAGGGAAGGTCTAGGAGCATATAAGAAATATAATCTTTGTGGGAAGCCTGTAGTTGTAGGATCAAAATTTAAAATTAAAGCAATTACACTTGTAGTTTTAAACTTAAATGATGAATAAAGGCCGAACATGTTGGTTCACTTTTTCCCATTAGCCTTCACATTATTGATCTTTTAAAATTTGTCTATTTACCCTGTAGTCTTAAGCTATATTTTTAAAATATGAAACTAATGAGGAAACAGTGGTTCTTGTGGATTCATGGTTCGTATGCAGCAACATAGTGAGCTGTCATCATAACCCCTTATATTGGTCTTATTTTCTGACATCCAAGTTTTGCTTTTCTTCGTTCAAATTTTAACAGTCCTTTTATGTTTAATTGTTATTATATTTTGCCTAAATTAACCTCAACACGAAGATCTCTTGATATTATATTGTTCCTGTGCGAAGCATATTATCTTGTTGGATAATATATACTTGCGAGAGTATATTAGATTATTGTTGTCTTAGTTGTATGGAGCATATGCCCATAGATTTCTATCCAACATTCTGTTTGAAGTATGAATCTGAAACCTTTTTGTCTGTGTGTGTGTGCTGAAACCTTTTTTTTTTTTTTTTTGAATTTTGTTGTCTGATTCGTTATGTGGCCAGTTGAATGGAATTTTTTCTTTGCGTTTTTTCTCATCCAAGCGATCATATCAGTCATTTATTTTTGGGCAATTATTTATTTTATTCCTTATTTGGCTAATTTTACTTATTATTTTTTGTATTTAATCCATTTTGATGGCCGAAAGGGTTGCTTTTTTTTTTTTGCCGCTAAATGTTCTATTTTATTTTCTAACTTCATGTTGGTTTATTTTGATTTGTTTGGTTTTGGTTTAGTTCGACAAAAGATTTAGGAGGTTCTGTTAGATTACATTATATCTTAATGCTGGTGGGCACTTGAAGATTGGTTGGTATTTGGGGTTGATATTAAGTTGTATTTGAAGTGGTTTGAGAATATAAAATTTAACAGAACCTCCTGGGTTCTAGAATATGAGAATATGAAGCTCATGGGTCAATATTAAATTTGTTGCATGAATATGGGCAGTACAAAATGTATATCATTCATTGAAACAAAAAAAAAACAATTTTTAAAATAGATTATTTATTATTTATTATATATCATCCGGCAATAAGTTGCTTGATGAATCAAATTCACTGAAAGAAAAGCAATTCCATGATTGAGTATATATATAAATTTAAGAATTGTTTTAGTTTGACATGATTTATGATATGGAAATCACTATTTAAGCTTAGATCTGGTTTGAGATTTAACACCTTGAGAGACATGACAACTCATTATATCCCTTACTCCAAACACGCCTATCAACTGTCGTTAGAATTTGAGCAAACATATAAAATTTTTGTTTCCAAGGAAGTTTCCACATATTTTATTGATGTCTTTTCATTAGAAAAGTAAAATTTAATTGGTTGCACTTAATGATCCGAGGTAGTTTTCACAATATTGCCCGGAGCTTGAAATTAACCAAGGGGGAGTGTGGATGATGGGATGTTGAAATAATGTTTTCTATTATTCTATTTCTATAATTTAATATTCAAATATTAATTAAAAGAGTCCTAAATATATAATTTAATTAACAAATAAAAGTTTATTTTTTTTATTGTTGATCTCTCCTTCTGAGCACATTATCTTTTTTTAGAATTCATTTTATTCAAAAGCTTCAACCTTAAATATCAAAATAACATAATGGGTTATCTATAAGATAATTCAATTGAGCAATCACACTTATAAACTATAGTGAGCTAAGGAAAAAAATATGTATGTTGGTGTTTTGTATTTGATTATAAAAATTCATTTAATAGCCACTCTTCAATGTTTAATTTTTAACTTACTTCAAACTCTTAACATCTGCATACATTTCAGAAGCACTGTCAAAAACATAACCTAACACACTTCTTTGGTATTATTCCGTCGGCATAACGGTTCATGATCTAAATTATATGATTGTCTGAGGTGAAAAGGTGCCTCCTTGCATCCCACAGACATTCACTTGTTGGCACAGAGGTTAACGATTTATATATCTTAATTTTCTGAGGTGGTAAAAAAACATTTATGTGCATGGGCACATTGTCTCCCATGCTTGTACCATATGTTGGCAAACTCCCTCTTTTTATGCTAATGCAAATATTCGTGTATATAATGTTTTCATTTCATTCTTTATGGCATACATTACTTTCTTATGCGAGACTTAACATTAATCTACCAATGAATAAATGTATGTTTACTATAATCAAAAGGGCATGCTAATGTCTGATAACTTCATTGGTAAACCATCTTGCAACTGTTTATACATAACTATTAGTTAGCACGCATACTTCTAAAGGTTATGTAATAAAATGCTATATGCATATTTACTTAAATTTTAAGATTATGCAATAATCTTATATGTGCATCTTTACTAGAATCTGAATATTATGCAAAGATTAATATATGCACCGGTACTATAATTTAAACGTCATTCAAAAGCCTAATAACTTTATAGGAAATTTATTGTGCATCTATTTAATATGTATATTTTTCCATTTAATAATATGAAGAATTTATTATAATCAAACTCTCACTAGGATAAAACAAACATGAAATCAAGCATATAGTTAGAAATAATAAAAAAATTACTGAAATTTAAAAATATAATTACTCGTCATAACTTTTCAAAGACCTCTTTAAAAACTTATTTCTCCACTTGACCTCCCAACATTAATTATTATAACTCTAATTTAATACTTAAATATGATTGTAATTTTTACAAAAGATCTAAATTAAACAAACCGGTTTCTTACTTCAAAAGCTCGTTTTGCTTCCTATACTAAATGTTGCAAAATTTGTCATTATAAAAAGTGGATGTTAAAGTAGGAATTTGCATATAAATGTTGATAGGGAAATTAATGACATTACAAATTTATTGATGTTTATCAAGTTGATCAAGTGATTACTGAATTTGTGGATGCCTTCATTAATGTTCATTAACTATCATTTGTTATATTTATTTACTTTTAATGTTTTATCTGATTAGAATCGGATTAGATATTTTCAGAATGAGGGAATCTTATGTAAACTCATTGATAGTGAGAGCTTTATGAATATCGTATATAGTATGACCTTTGAGCATATGAATTTAGAATCTAGACTACATCCACAACTAAGGTGTATGTGAGCCAAGTTGATTGACGAGGCCGCGAGTCAAGTCTACCTAGTCACGAGCTCAAGTTTGATCACAAATTATAGCTTGTATATCATAAAGGCATGAGTTCGTGCTTGACCTTTCTCGACTTGTTAGCTCGCTAGCTGGCTCAGTTAATTATTTTTGCTAGATTTAGGCCTCAGTGTGCCACTTTATTATAGGTCCTGTTGCTTGTCGTTGGTGCTCATCTCTACTTCCTCCATTGAGGTCCCATTGTTGTGTGTTCTAGCGAGCTCTTGTCATTGTCATTCTCCGTCGAGCTCTTGTGTAGGTATGGTTATGGTGTTTTTCAACGAGTTCACTTTGTTATCGTTCTCAGTAGCCCCGTGTAGGTCCTAGTGCAGCTTTATCAGGTGAGCTGCCATCATAATTGCCACTCACACAAAGGCAAGATGTCACATATGTAAAAATTGAAGTTTAGGTGTTGGATATGTGAATGCATGCGAATTGAGTGGCATATATGTAAATTGAAGTTTGAACCCCACTTCATGTGCAGCTGCTTATGTTTCTGTATCCTTTTGTCCGCAGATCTCAGCAATCTGTCCAGAAGCAGAGATGCAAGCGCTAAGAAAGAATCTTCAGCTCTTTCTGCAAGTCGAAAGGCTGCCAGGACAGAATGACTGGTTCACGTGTAAGCTGAAGAGTATATATTTAAATGTATTTTATTTTAATTTTATTTGAATTTAGGCAATCGCAGCTGTCTACCGTAGAATGATTTTTATTTATTTATTATTATTATTATTTAGTATTTATGTATTTACATGCTTGACACCTAAACTTCAAATTTTGCATTCATGCCATCTTATGTATGCATGAAAGAGGGTGCTGGATTTGTAAATAGCACTGTTTTGGGTGCCATGTATGTAATTGCCCCTGCAATTTTGGGATAATTTCATGCATAGCGCCCGAGCATATTGCTATTTACAAAATCAAGCACCCATGTGATATTTTGAACTATGGAAGTCACAATCATTTGATAAAGGGTTTTATCATGTATTTTGATATTTGAGTGAGAATTTGAAAAATGGATGAACGACGCCGCGGGATTTATAAATAGCAATGTTTAGGGTGCCCTTCACATTGCAAGAGAAGGGTGGTATGTATGTAAATAGCCTCTAGAAAGAAAGGTTGCACTTAATTCGTTTTGACCCTTTCAACCAATCAACTAGTCACAAACTGGTTAAGTCTTAAGTTTGTAGCCGTTTCTGTATAAAATTGGGATTGAATTGGTTAGAATCGAGGTTGAATTGGTGAACTGATCCGATTTCTAAACAACCAGTTCAAATATGTTCCAATTTAAGCATTTTGATTTTAATCTGACGATCAAAAATAAGATATTTAAATTAAAATAGAAAAATAATTGTCTTAAATTTTTTTTAGAATATTATTCAGAATATTTGAAATTATTATCTTAAATAAAAATATTATTTATTTAAAAATAATTTAAATACATTATTATTTTATCAGAGATTTAAACTCTCTTAATAATATTATTATTAATAAATAGGCCATACAATTTATGCATAACAATATGCAATCCAATCGACGCACACTTTTACCTGGAATTGTGTTCCTTACTCGAATGTGATGTAATAATAGGTCGTACAATTATACATGAGACATTTGCTTAGAATTGAGTTCCTTAAAGGGTATATTCACCTTTTAGAAGCCCCTAAACATTAATATAAATGTTGAATTCTTCATGAACTCCAATAACATCGCAATAACCCCTCAATAATCCTTCAATAACCTCTACAGTTTCACGTCAATAACCACATAATAACCTCCATGTGGCGGTATATTACTGTAGTCCGCACGCAGAGCTGCGTGCGTACACTGTATGGAATAATTTATCTGTTTATAGGGTCTTAGTTGTATAATTACAGGAAAGAGAGAATAATTATGGAAAATATTTTTAATGCAATTAATGCATCAATTTAATATCAGATTTGGATTACATTTGAGTATAATATAATGATTATAGGCTAGTTGACATACTTGAGTTTGACCGGCTCGGGTGATCGGTCTAGTGACAATTGATCCTGCCGATGTAAAGTTGGTCAATCAACTAGTTGTAACCGGATGTTCTTGCAAGATGATTAGGTGGCTGGGACCGCAAGTGTGGTCTGCCGACTGAATCCGCCAACATTGACGGTCTGTCAACTTAATCAAGCAAACGATCGTCAGATGGCTAGTTATGCTCATTCAGTCCGGCGTTTCAGTCACCATCTTTAACTGTTAGATTGTTTTGAGATTTGTGCTGACAGCTACGGTGCAAATAAAAATAAAATTATTATTTTATATTCTTATAATTTTCTTATTTTTCAAATGTGGAAGTGAACATAAATTCTAGCATAAAACTTAAAAAAAAACTTATTGCTTTATTCAGCCTCTTGCACGTGCTATTTTACAATATTTTTATTTACAGCATCTGTAGCCCAAAAGGAAAGTAAACCCTTATAATTATTATTATTATATATACCTATATTGCATTTATATATCATTATATATATACATATCCTACACTTATTTTATTTTATTTTGTTTTATTTTTAACATGTTTATTTGATTTATTTTTATATGTTTTTTGTTTTTTTATTTTTAATTGCAATTTAAATTTTATTTTGAAATACTCAAAACAACATTTAAATGTTTTGAGTATTAAAAAAAAATCATATCTTAATCAAACTTATCAAATATGTTTTTCTTCAAATCAAAATAAAAACAAAAACAAGAAAAGAAAATAATCCCAAGTGGATTCTAAACCTTGGTTGTTTTGGACATCAAGACAGAATTATCGAGCTGTCAAAGAAATAGTATATTTTTCAACATTTAGGGCCCGTTTGAGGGCGCTTATCGGAAGCGGCGGCGGTTTGTGATAGATGCCCTCCCACAGACTCTCCCACATCGAAGCTCTTGCTTGCATTCACTAGGTAGGTGTTCGTTTCACTTCTGTTCATTTTGTTGTCAGCACGTGCCAGTAATTTTATGGAGTTTATACTAACAGCAGATTAAGGGCTCGTTTGAGGGCGCTTACCGCCCTTCCGTTTGGAAATGACGTTCGCCATAAAAGTTTTGAAAACGCGTCGTTTTAATATCGCGATTTCCTTAAGGTAGGGTAATCCGGTTAGGGGCGCCGATCCGCGTATGCTTCTCGCGTTTAGGTTGTTTTTCCCGTGTTGCCCTTCCCGTCTCTCCCCCTTGCCCTCGCCCTTCCCGTCTCGCCTTCGGTTTCGAGCTCTCCCGAAGCTGTGATCCGTGATATGAGGTTTTTTTTTGACCTCACACTCTTGCCCTACCCAATATCCGTCTCCTTCCTTCCCGTAGGCCGTGTTCGATCTCTCTCACAGTTATTTCTGTTCATATGGTGGTTATAAATGAATCAATGCAAATTCTTGAGCTTTGTTATTCTTATTGCTTATTTTTTCATTTGTTTGGCTCGGTTTTGGTCCCTACAGGGCTGGATTTCGGTTTTGGTTAAGCTTTCATTCGATCAGGGAGCTCTGTTTGTATTTATGTAATTTTTTCCACCTTAAGTGGTCAATTTCGGCTATGTTGGATCCTTTTTCTCACCATCTAAGCATAACCTTGAATGGTTATAGAATTGGGGATTTCGGTTTTGGTTAAAAGCTTTGATTCGAACTCAGGGAGCTCTGTGTGTATTTATGTAATTTTTTTCATCTTCATATCTTTGAGCTTTTAATTTTGAAGGGGCATTTGCATATATTCGAAAGCAAAATTGGGGCCTTCATGGTTTATCTTTGAATGCAGATTTGAAGGGGCATTTGCATACAGATCACATAATTCTTATGTATTTACTTTTTCCACCTTAAGTGGTCAATTTCGGCTATGTTGGATCCTTTTTCTCACCATCTAAGCATAAACTTGAATGGTTATAGAATTGGGGATTTCGGTTTTGGTTAAAAGCTTTGATTCAAATTGGGTAGCTGAAGCACATATGAGAAGCTATGGAAAATTCATTTCTCTGTTTTTATTTGCTACATGAAATGCTGAATTTGGGACTTCATATAAGTTAACATTTGGGACTTCATTCTGCAGCTTTACTACTCTTATGCCTCCCTAAATAAATGCTGAAAGTTATTTGTACATTTGTTGGCTCAGTTTTGGTCCCTACAGGGCTGGATTTCGGTTTTGGTCCCTACAGGGCTGGATTTGATGGTTTAAGATGTATATTTACACATGATGGAGCATAATATATGGGGTAAAGTTATGTTAGGGGAAGGATTTAAAGTGTGTGTGTGTGAAGTATGAGTGAGTGGATTGACTGTGAGCGTGAGGGTAAGATTATTCAGTTCGTGTTAAGTGGATGAGTTCATTTCAGCATTTTTAGTGAGAGCTTTATTTGAGCATTTTTCTTCTACTTATATC